GGTTTGGGTGGGAAGGGATCTTTTAAGTTCATCCTGCTCCAAAGGGCACCTCCCACCCGCCACGGGCGGCTCCAGGAATTCCTCTGGAAAAACTTTGGCTCCCAGCTTCCCCCCCCAGGGCCCTTTTCTTGCCCCAGAGGAGGAAAAACCACCTGTGCCATAAAACCAAAGCGCTGGAGTTTATTCCTTCCCCCAAAATAATCCCCCCTGCACCCCGATAAAGAGAAGGAGACTCTCCCGACAATCCCACTCATCCCATTCCCACGGGACCGGTGCTCGGGGAGTGGGGGTGGCCTTTCCCTGGCAGCTCTTTCATGGAACCCCAAAGGTCGGAGGAGCCCTCCAGGGTCGCCCAATCCAAGATTTTTTACCCCCCCTCCCCTGTGACAAACCCATGGGCGGGGGGGGGGAGGAGCCCCCAGCGGGCGTTTTCCCAAGCCCACCCCTCCGGAATTCCCAGGAACCTGCTGCTCCCGGACGGGGTGCCCCCGGAGCGGCAGTGGGCACGCTTCTACGTCAAGGTGTACCGGGCCGAGGGGCTGCCCAGGATGAACACCAGCATCATGGCCAACGTCAAGAAGGCCCTCATCGGGGAGAACAAGGACCTGGTGGACCCCTACGTGCAGGTGGTGTTTGCGGGGCAGAAGGTGAGAAAGGGGGGGGGACACGGGGAGGGGACACAGGGAGGGGACACGGGGAGGGGACACGGACGGGACCGGCCGTGTACGGGGTTCTGGGTTGTTTTGGGGATGCTGGCATGTGTGTGGTGTCATTTTGTTATCCTTGGTTGTCCTGGAGATGTTGGGATGTGTGTGGTGTCATTTTGTTATTCTTGGTTGTCCTGGAGATGTTGGGATGTGTGTGGTGTCCCCTTGTTATCCTTGGTTGTTCTGGAGATGTTGGGATTTGTGTGATGTCCCCTAGTTTTTCCTGGAGATGTTGGGATGTGTGTGGTGTGCCCTGGTTGGTCTGGAGATGTTGGGATGTGTGTGGTGTGCCCTGGTTTTCCTGGAGATGTTGGGATGTGGGTGGTGTCACTTTGTTATCCTTGGTTGTTCTGGAGATGTTGGGATGTGTGTGATGTCCCCTGGGTTTTCCTGGAGATGTTGGGATGTGTGTGATGTCCCCTAGTTTTTCCTGGA